GCAGCCTGTCCACCTTCATCGCCCACAAGAAGTATTACTGCTCCTCGCATGCGGCCGAGCACGTGAAGTGAGCGCCCGGCGCTGCTGCCCTGCAGGGGCACCCGGGACGCTCCAGGCACAGACCTCGTCAGAGAGGCTGCAGGGGGCGGCGCCCGCCCGGACCTTGGCACTTAATAAAGAAGTTCGGTTTGCTGAGCACAAGTGCTGCAGCAGCCTCGTTCTCTGAGCCGGGGGGCCCTGCGGGGAGGGCACGGGCAGGGCCAGCACCACCTCTGAGGACACGCAGGACACTGCAGGCCGGAGTCCCACGGTGGCCCTGAGAGCGGGATCTCGCCCCGCACCCGGGGCTGATGGCACTGCTCTGGGCCCCCTTGGGGCACGGGGAGAGCAGGCACTGCCCTTCTAGGTCCACTGCTGCTGTCCTCCAGGATCCAGCCAGAAGCTCTGGTTTGGCCACCAGACACCAAAGGGAAGAGCTTAATCCTGGCCAGCGGACAGCTCTTCACCTGCTCTGTCCTGAGGCCTGGACGTCACCTGTCCAGTCACAGGCCACCAAGGAATCCAGGGAGGGGAGCATGGTGGGGAGGATGAAGCCCTGCAGCTGCCGAGGCTGATGGGGGAGAAGGGAGAGTGAGCCGCTGACAGGCACCGGGGCCCACAGCGAGCGACCCCTGGGACCTGGGGGCTGCGGTGGGCACGAGGCTGGGGCCACACCACCCCCAGTCTGCCCTGCTGCTGCTGACCACGACCTGGGCCAAACCCAAGCAAGAGGAGTCCAACTGTGGTCTTGGCACTTGGCAGCTGGGGGGCTGTGGGCACCCTCAAGCCTGGTGTCCCTGTTTGCAGTACAAAATGTCTCTTCCAATATACCTGGCCGCCTACTGCAGATGAAAGTGAAACCTGACCTCTCACCTTTCTCTGTCTCCGAACATCAGATGTGCTTCCTGCCACCCACCCAGACTCACTCTCCTGCTCGATCGGGGCAGGTTTTCTCCCGCCCAGCCCTCAGGGGTGACAGGCTGAGGAGCTTGTGTTCGCACAAGAACAGTCCCCACACCTCGCCCACAGGTACATGGGACACGGCCCCCTCCCGCTTGCCCCCAGCTCGCCCTGAGTACCAGGGTGTGACCAGGACTGCTGGACGGTCGGGGGCCCCAGGAGCCAAGCTGCTTTCCTGGTAGATGCCCCGCCTTGTGGACTGGGGCAGGGAGGCTCCCAGACCCCTCAACTCTGCTCATTGTTGCACCCCGGAGAGTGAGGCTCCGCCTCAGTCCCACCACCAAATGCGGCAGATGTCATTAACCCTAAGACAGGGGGAACGTCCCTGTGTGCTGATGAGCACAGATGCTCAAAGGGGAAGGACGGGGGAGGCAGGGGAAGCATCTGTGCTCACCCCCACCCTTGCACCACGTGAGCGGAGGACAGCGCCACGCATCAAAGGGCCTCGGTGTCCACGCCCACCCGACCCCTGACCCCCACCCCAGGCCTGAACTGCTGGCCAGGCCAAGCCTTGCGCCAGGGAGGTCCTGGGCCCTGCAGCTGGGTCCTGGGTCACATGCCCCCTGCTCTCCCCCCAACCCCGGTGCATGGCCAGCACCCTGCGGCCCTTGCCCCACTCAAGGTCCCCAGTGCTAGGCTCTCCACCCACAGCCCGGAGCCCGCCTTCACCCTCCTCAGACCCCCATTTCCCACACGCTGCCTCCTCTCATGCCACCCCATGTTCTCCCCCAAGAACCTGCCACCACCGTCCCAGCTGCAGCCCAGGGACAGCGCTTGGCCTCCTTCCCACCTCTCTGGGAGCCCTGATGCTCCCAGATGAGCCCCCCGCCCCCATCCCCTTACGGTCCTGGGCGGGCACACGGGTTCCCGGGCCTCTAGGTTTCTCTAGCCCAGCCATGCCCCCTGCCCAGACCAGTGCACCCACTGCATGTCTCTCAAGGGCCCTGACACGTCCAAGACTGGGCTCTCCCTGCTGCGTCTTCTCCCCACACCTGCGCAGACGTGGCCATCAACCCTCTGCCCCCGGAGCTGGTGACAGCAGCACCCTCACCTCACACCTCAGTGTCACAGCAGCTGTGACCGCGAAACCCGCCTTTTCCCATCCTGGCCCCCAGGTCCACAAGTTCGCCTCGCTTCTCTCTCAGCCACCGATTCCAAACCTCTCAGTGCGTCTCACTGCCTCCGGGGACGGCCGCCCCCGATGGACTGCACTGTCCCCCGCCAACACGACTCTTCACCGCCAGGTCGAGTGGTTGGGAGACCAGGTGGTGTCACACCCTGCTTCAAGCCTTCAGCGGCTCCTGCTGCACAGACGTGGCCGCCAGGCCCTGCTCGTCGCCCCATGGCCTGTTCATGCTGCTCTAGCATCTCGGCACCACCTGCTCCCCGCAAGGGGCTGCGCTTGTCACGCGGTTTAGAGACCTTCCCTGACCCTCCGTCCTAACACCCTGCTCATTTCCCCATCATAGTGGTCACTCTCGGGGTCACCTGCTTTGATTTTCTTACCCCCTTCTCCCTGCCCCATGGGCCTCGCCGGCCTTGACCACTGCCTCCAGGGCAGCTGGCCCACGGCCCGGGGAGGGGCACGTGGTCAGTCCAGCCCCCCACCATGCCCCAGTCGTCACAGCCCTCTGCAAAGCCAGCCCCGCCTGCCCACCTCCTGGGTTCCCTCCACCATCCCATTCTCTGCTGGGCTCCTGCCTTCGGCCGCCCCCCAACGCTGTGCCAATTGCACCTCCCCAAGCCAGCTCTTATCAGGTGACACTGTACACACAGCATGCACAACACTTGGTCCACATTCAAGGCCACTGTCCAACCCCAACTCCTCCTAATTGGGTCGCCCCACCCCCACCCCGAGTCCTGTGTGCAAACCTCATCCAGGTCTCCGCAGCGCTGCGCACCCTGCGCCCTGTGCTGCCCGTCCACCCCTGGGGAAACCCTGGCACTAGGAATCACTGCAGGTAGACGTTCCTGGCACCAGGGGTCAGCAGTGACTCGTTTACATGGGCCAGCAGGCCAGGTGCCAAGAGCTCTCGACCGGCCAGGGCACCCGCCCTCTGTCTCCTGAGGACCCAGAAAGAAGGGTGGGAGGCGGAGGCGGGTCCCAGATGCAAAGGGAACAGGGAGAACGTGGAGGAGGGCGGTGTGCAGCCCGAGGACCTGCACAGTCTGGAGCCGCGTGGTCTCCACCGAAGGCGCAACAGAGATGACCGGCGAGCAAGAGAGGAGCCCCGAGGGCAGGGCCCTGGGTGCGGGGGCGCACGGGAGAAGGCGGGGGGCCCAGGCAGAGTCCCGGCAGACATCAGGCGGGTCGTGCAGCAGCCCTGGAGGTACAGCCTCTACCCTCCTCCCCCATCGCCGTCCTCACAGGAGGACGTGGGCTCCGGGAGGGGGCGCGACCGGACATCAATCAAGCCGGTGCTGGGAGCACCACCGCTGAGCGCGCACACGGCTGGCTGCCGTGGCCGCCTCCCTTCTGAGGCTCCGGCCCAGCCTTGCTCGCAGACCTGCCCTCACCTGCCTCTCACGGGTAGCAGCTCGGAGCAGCTGAGCCCAGGCGCCCCACTGCACGGCCAAGGCCGGCCTCGGCCCCTCCGTGAGGGGACAGCCGCGGGGGACGACTTAGGAGAGCGGTTCTCTGGGACACGGTTGGTCCCTGTTCCCGAGAGCGCTCTTCTCCGGGGCGGCCACGTCGCATCACCCGAGCCCCAGTGGAGAATACACTTTCCAGGGGCCCCGGACGGCCCGAACAGGCCAGGGCCTGGGAATCGGCCTTGATCAGGTCCCAGCAGATTCTTCTCTGGCCAGTTTGAGAAATACCTGCAGGACAGGTGGTCAGACACTGTTCATGCCTTTCTGGTCACAGCCCGACAGGCGCAGGACGGCCCTGCCGAGGGGCCTCTGTCAGCTGGGGCAGGACGCAGCGAGGAGGGGGCTGGGCCCAGACCTCAGCCCTTCAGAACCGTACGTTCCCACACTCCGTCCCAATACCATTCCGCCTTCACCGATCATCAGATGAGCCTCGGAAGCCCCGGCCCCGCTAAGTCCAGGCCGCGCTGCTGAGCAGAGCCGCCGGGGGCGGCAGCCATGCCCAGACTGCGGAGGTACCCTGGGCAGAGTCCGAAGGGCACGCGGCAGGGAGAGCAGGCTGGGACTCCGAGGGGTCCGGCCGCGTTACTTAACTAGGGGCTCGCGGGTGGGAACCGCCCCCAGCCGCCGTTCCAGAGAGAAGTGCCAGGCAGCACCCCCAGGAAAGGAGGGGACCCCGTCCCTGACGCTGTGCTTGCGGGCGGCGCAGCCCCGAGTCCTGACCGGTGTGATGGGGCACCCTCGCTGCGGGAGCACGACCAGGCCCGAGGCTCCTTTGCTGCCACACGGCTGCCACCGTCACGCTCGCCCCTGATCCCCACCCCCACCCCAGAGCATGGCAGCACGAGACCTAATGCCCCGATGGAACCAGCCTGAGCACCGGCTCCCTCTGCACCTAACATGCCCAGGGGGCGAGCAAGCCCCTCCCTACGTGCAAACGCCCCGCACAGTAGCCCAGGCGCACAGTAGCCCAGGCGCTGTGCTCAGGGGCTGGAATCCCGCCACCGCTGTGCTGCTGCGGCCGACCCGTCCCAGGGAAGCCGACCAAGGGCACCTGCAGAGGGAAGCGGCCACCGGGACGTCCACATGACACTTTGTGAGGTCGCATCAGTGGGCGACGACAGATAATTCAAAACAGAAGCTTGAGATTCAGACGTGTCTGGAGATTCAAAATAGTATAGGACTTTGCACGGCAGGAGAGGACAAGGGCTGACTGGGTGTCACGAGTCTAACACCAGCTCTGAGTTACTACTCACCGCCCCCGAGACAGGGCCGCTAGCCAGTATTTCCAAGGACCCCAAAATGCATAGGCTTTAAAAGACCCCCAGGGTCTGAGGACCAACTTCTTGAGGGACACACATGTGACCTGACCCCCGCTCCTACCCAGGAAGGGGCCACCCCGGGACCCACGTCACTAACTCAGTGGGAATCAAAGCAAAGGCTGCTGCCAGGGTGGATCCCGACACCACGCTGCGGCTCGAAG